ATATTGTACAGTGGCATTAAGTGCCGTAATGTGCACCTCTGCCCTACCCCTTCGTTGATAAAAAGACGTGATGATGTTATACTGGTAAATGAGCAGACGTATCATCTGATGGTAAGCAATCGACGCCGCCGACACCTGAATCACCAGAGGCGTTACAAGTGGTGTTACTGGCATTTTGGGGATTACGAATTTGCGGATTAATAGCTATACAGGGATTGGGAAGATTTTGGTAATTGAGCCTTCAGTAACCTCACTCATACGACGAAACACAACGCAACGCAAGCGTTGTTTCTCATCGGTTTTCTGTGAGGCCATAGTATCACTCCGGTCGAGCCAGCCCATTCGTGCCGAAGCATGGCTTTCCCACACTGAAGATTCTTGAAAATTATGAAGTAGTTTCCATATTCTTCAAGTATGGAATATGATACCTGCCTGCCTTTTGGTACTCCAGTATCCTTGATGAATGCTTATTTTTTAAATTGTACATTTTCTTTTCAGATTTACGACGTTGTAGGGACTGTGGGGATATCAATAGGACTAAGTTACGCAATGTGGCTGTTTGTGGAGGCGCCACTGATCAACATCACCAACCATTTCTTCTTCAACAGGTATGTTACCTCTTTTATATCACTCCAGCTACTGCCCTTTGCTTCGTACGTACCCTGAGCGTGCGGCGCGTCGAGTTTCGCGCCTGCCTTAAATACTCATCAGACCACTATGGATGGGGCCCAATAGGGCTGATGCCGATACGGAGCCGCATTTGACGGGTTGCCGGGGCAGGGCAGGAGAAGGAACGGGGTAGTTTTTTTAGTCAGTAAGAGTCTGACACTCTTTCCAGCCTCACCCAGGCGGGAGAAGTCATTCGATGATTTTCCCCCCTTAACTCGTCGAGTACCGTCATTATAGACACAATCATAGAACAATAGGTTGCGGTCACCGGTGACCGCTTGGTGTTTGACAGTTTAAAGAAACTGCGTCCGTACAAAATTAATATCTTACCGCTTTCACATAAGGATTTTGCATATTTCTCTATTACACCTTTAGTCACACTCCTCTTGCTAAAATTTATTTTATTATCTACAGGTCAAAGAACGTGCAACCAGATAAAAATCCTGGTGAGAATGGAATCCAGCATCAGAATGGAGTTACTAGGACTAAAATTATGTAAGTTGATAACTTGACTTTTGCTAGTGTCGTACTTTTACGAGGAAGCATTTTTAACTGATGACATTTTATTCCAAACAGGTTAAATGGAATCCTACCAGACAAAAGTCATGACGAGAATGGAATCCAACATCACAATGGAGTAGCTAAAACCAAAGTTTCATAATATGTAATAACTTTTTAAATTGTTATTAAAGTTGTGTATAAAATAAAATATAATGTATAGAAATTACAATTTAGTTTAATAGAAACATGTTAATAATACGAATATTTTTTGTGAATATTACGTCGTTTTTTCGGAACATGTGTTTTTTTTTAATGATATTTGACTAGCTTTTACCCGCGGCTTCGCTCGCGTCATGACATATACCAATACACACAGCGCCATCTATACCAATACTTTCGTTTTCCCTCAGGAATATCAATTTTTCCGGGATAAAAAGTACCCTATTATTTAATCCAGACTTTTAACTTTACGTCTGCAAAAATTCAAAGCAATCGGTTTAGTAGTTACGGCGTGAAAGCGGAACAAACAAACAAACAAACAAACTCACTTTCCAATTTATAATATAAGTAAGGAAGTAAGGATTTCTTTTTCTCCACGGACTCTTGTCCGTGCTCTTGTCATTCAATTACACTTTCTTTTTATTTACAGTCAAATTAATTGTTTCAAAAATCGAACGATCTACATTTTTTTTCCACAAAGAAGTTTGTGTCTACTATCTACATATACATAATACATGTTTTATTACATTTACATTAACATGTGAACTTAATGATCTTGAACTTATGGGCAGACGTGGGCCTTCGTAGGCCGCATCATCGCGTTTGTGTCTCTGTATCTCTCCCTCTTTGTACTAAACCAATCTTTATTTTTATATCCGCATATTAATAATTTATTTGTGTAAATCTTCACCAGAGTCTGTGTTTCCTGAACATATATAACCTGGGTGGTCTGCAAGGCCCGAGTGAATAGGTTGCTTATGGGTCGACGTGCTCAATGATAGACGGCATCATCGTCTACCAACAGGCGAGATAGTGGTCACGTCGCCCCATCAAATATAAAAAAACATAACATAACATAACGCCTGATATCTCCGAAGGGGTAGGCAGAGGTGCACAATATGCCACTGTACCTACAATGTACCACCCACTTTTCACTATTTATGTTATGAGTCACTTGTAATAGGGGGTGAGCCTATTGCCATATAACGGACACAATTTCAGACTCCGTGCTACTACTAAGATTTTTTTAAAAGTCTGTTATATTGCCCGACCTGGGAATCGAACCCGAGACCAAGTGCCCGGCAGTCGCACTTGCGACCACTCGGCCAACGAGGCAGTCTTATAAAAAAAACCTGCATAGCAAATAGGCGTGCTGAAGGTTAGATACTTACCTACTCACACATAGTTACCTAATCCATAATTATCATCATTTAAATACATTAATTCAAGTTCCCAAAATCAGCGACCTTGTGGTTCATCGTACGGTGGTTACCTATTGATCGACAGAGTTCAAGGGTGACGTAAGAACGTTTCCTAACAGCTGGTAGGTACATCCACTCTATAGGTATAATATAATTATACTTCTTAATATACAACATGTAACGTAATTAAAGCACACCCTCAAACACTGCAATTAGAATATTATGATTGTTATAATCATTATACATACCTACACTAAAGTTTTAATTTAACATGTATAGGCATCCTTACTGGTCTTGTCATAAGGTTTATTTTTCTTTATTTTGTATTGAATGGTAGAATTTGTATGAATACAAATAAAACTGCGATTTTAAAGTCTTATTGCTTTGACTTCGGCCCATTTCGATTTGTTTTAACAATACAGGGTTAATATGACAATAATTTCCGTAGTTTTAACTATTTTTGGGATAAAAAGTTACCTATAGATACTAAAAATTATATAAATCGATTCAGTTACCGATTCTGAACAAACTATTTTCAGGATGTGCGTTATTTAAGTTACTTGTTGTATATTTATGTTCAACAAAAATGTAAAATTAAACCTTTTGACCCTATAAGGATAAAGAAATTGTAACAACAACTACTTTTTACCAGATATTTTATGGATGAGTCCCGTGGAATACAGCACAGTACATATAAAGATAATATGTTCTGTGGAATACAGATTAAGCTTAGGTTATCACAAGCACCTTACAGACTAAAGAATGCAATATTATTTGTTTATGCATATTGCTATCAAAATTTTGTCAGGCGTTATTTGGAATATTTTTTTTAATAAAATAGGCTAGTTCTAACGTTTCTTGTATCATCTGTGTATTTGTCAAATGCATATAATAACAACAATGTTACAAAGCATTATTAACATTTTATCTGGCAGAAATACCAGACAGTTGCTATGGCAACTAAAAAGTAACTTACCTACTGTTTATGTTTGGACTTTATTTAAAATTATTTCTAGACAATTTTTACAATTGCTTCTTTATTGTATAGGTACCCTAACAATTGCAATATTTAATTCCCTATAAATACGATACGTACGTAAATGGTAGGTACCCAACAATTTTCGTTCCATAAAGTGACTGTTAAGTCGCCCGGGTTGATGCTAGCGAGCTGGCAACAGTGCGGCGACCGCGCGTAGCAGTGCAAACGTAGTCACGCCGCGGTCTAGTGTTGAGTAGGACACGACTTGAAAAAGAGTTTGTAAGAGTAGCCTCTTTTCTGTCCTGAGCCAGTACAATGTCCCACTTCAAATGAGGCGAGGCGAAGGACGGTTTGAAGCATAGCGATACATTTGAAGTTACGACTGTGTCAATGTCATTTTGCTCGTACTCTGTAGTCTGTACTGCTGTGTTTAAATGTACCTAACAAACGTGTGACTGATATATTACTTACAACTCAACACAATTGGAAAAAGTAATTGACAACATTTTGTCACTTGTATTTAACTGTTTGTACTCTTAATGTTACATGTATATATGTGTCTATCAGCATGCAACTAAAAGCACTTCCTCGACATAGTTATTTGTTATATTATTTTTCGAAATTCGTGAATAAAACTATTTGATCATAATAAAAGAGTATATTAAAAATAAAATTAAAAATTACATATTAAAATTTAAAAATAAAATTTGCGACACCTTTTTTCCGCTTAACCTATTGCGCCGATCCACAATCACCTGGCCAGCCTTGGAAAAAATGCGCTCCGAGGGTACAGAGGTGGCTACTATGCATAGCCTTTTTAAAAATAATTTGTAGAGCCTCGGATAAGCCTCCTTTTTGGAGAACCACCACTTCGCAGGGTCTTGGGACCTAGGTAGCAATGGCTCTTCTAAGTATTTGTCTACCTCTATGATACCTCCTGCTGTCGGGTTGATGTTCTTCAAAATGTCACCTACCTATAAATTTAAGAAATTTTGTTGTTATTTATTTATAAATGAATAATATTTTATAATTCGAAGGACTGACACGGATGGGCTTCAAGGTGAACCACGTCTGTACTCTGCTATGGATAGAGGCGGGTGCGAGCCACCCATGTCAATGCTTTTTCGAATTTCGCCTAAAAATATTGTCACCCACCTGTTCATCAAATTCATCCCAAATACTGCGCTTACGTTTAGATGGCGGAGATGAATTTGTAGGCTCCGGTATGGTAGGATGTTGGGCATCAATGACGATTCGCCCGGCTTGGGACTTTAAATTTGCACATGCCCTACCATATGCAAATTCGTTTGTAAATCCATATTTTTTAAACCGCGGGTCAAGAATTGTGCTCTCAGCTAAAATATTGTTTTCTTCAACGCCGGCAAATCGACTATTTATCTCGTGAATGAGAACCTCCGTCATTTGGGTCACTGTCGCTGGACGTGTCATCATTAAAAAGTTAGTACATTTCTTTTTAAGAGCATTTGATATTAATATAACCTGAAAATATAATAAAATCAATTAGTTACTTAAATAAAATGAATCACTAAAGTAGGTACTTACAAGAAAATCATCACTATAGCTACACTACAATAACTACCTACAATTGACTATGCTAGTTAATTATTTTATTTATATAATCATGCAGTTTACTATCAAAAAAAAACCATAGGTACTTCTGAAATCGTAACGTTTCTTTCCGAGCTCATTTCTTCCGTTACGTCTTTAAAAAATGATAGAATTTCTGATGCAGATTCTATTATCTGAATATCATCAGACGTAATGTTGTCTACATCTGGATAGTCGATCGCAAGTGTAGACATAACGCTATTTTTTGTTTTTAATATTCTTTCGAACATTTCGCAAGTGGAGTTCCAGCGTGTGGGAACATCCTGTTTTAATTTTAAAACGGGTTCCTCTAACTTCTTTTGCATATTTTTAAGCCTTTCAGAGGCAAGTGGACTTCGTTTGAATACTTCGACGATTTGTTTTACTTTAGTTGTAGTGATTTTTATTTGTTTTAAAGCTGTCTGCACTATTAAATTGAGTGTATGGGCGAAACAAGGTATTTGTTTCCAGCTATTTATTTTTATTGCAGCTTTAATATTGTTCGCGTTATCGCTTGTGGCTGCGACAATTTTGTTAGTTATTTCCCAATCACTTGCAATTCTTCTTAACTCTTGAGCTAAGTTATCGGCCGTATGTCTATCATTAAATTGGATGCACTCTAGTAAAAAGGATTTAAATTCTGCATTATTATTAAAAAAATGAACCGTCACCGCTAAATAATTTTCGTTGGGCTTGGATGTCCAACCATCGGTCGTTATGCAGACATACATGGCTTGGCTTAACTCAATCTTTACTTTTTCCTTTATTTGGAGATACACATTTGTCATTAAGGCGTTAGACAATGTCTTACGACTAGGTAATTGGTAGCCGGGGTTAAGTTCTTTTATGAACTCTTTCAATTCAGGAGACTCGATCAACTGAAAGGCTAAATAATTTTTTACAAATAGCTTCACTAGCGTTTTGTTTAATTGGTCAGTTTTTTTAGCAGAAAGCGGCTTAGAGAAGTACTGGGTTAGTTTGGTGTTAGCGGCTGCAGTTTTAAACTTGAATATATCTGAACTTTGAGGAATGGATGGTTCGGATGTTGCAGGTATGATAGTAGTTGATGATGTAGATGTAGATGTAGAAGCAATAGGTATACATATCGCAGTTGGATCGGTGGAAGTACTAGGCAAAAGCTGAATATGTGTTGCGGCAGAAGCTTCAATTTCAATTTGACATTCCTGTATCGCTGCAAATGCTTGCGGATGTTTACTTTTTGTATGTCTAGTCAAATTATAAGCACCGCCACCTTTATATGAAAACTCTTTTTGACAGAAATTGCATTTAGCCTTTTCATTCTGGAGATCAGTGAAAAACTGCCATGCTTTAGAGGATTTTCTATCACCAGACATAGTTACTATTCATGCATAAAACAAAAGAAAAAAGAACATAAAACAATCGTTAACGAGTATAATTTGTATTAGGTAAGTACTTGCACATAAATAATAAAAACATGAGTTTAAAATGAGTATTTTGTTTGGATTTGCAACTTAGTCACATCACATAAATAAATACATATAATAATTGAAGAATATCGCGCTGCGGCAAACCCTGCCGAGCTGGTGCCACCGCGACCCGCTGCCGCGGCCGCGGCCGCGCCGCGCCGCCGCGACCTCGACTGTTGCGAGTTGCGACTGACGTCTTTAGAGACTTAGCAATTGGAGACGTATTTAAATCTAATTCTATGCATAAAACTTTTATCCGTAAAGTACCTAATTTAATCATTTAAAATGTCAAAGTACTTAACTAATTTGAATTTCTAGCTTTTGAGACCAATTTGCAATTAATAGGTATAAATAGAATCCAAGTGAAAACACGCAGTCTCGTTAGACAAAGTTTTTTTAAGTTTATTCCGGCCATTACATTTTGCTATGCAGATGGTAAACTACAATTTGTAATGGCCGGTTTAAACTTCAAAAAAGAATCATTAATAATATTGAAATAACACACAAACACACAGACATCCAAACAAAATGTTAATATAATCATTAATACTAGACATTATTAAAATATAATTATAAAATTCGTTTAAATCAGACTTACAATTTTGTTTTGCCGCCTTCTTATTCCGTAACAGATTATAAATCTGACTACCTAATGCTCGCACTGGCTGGCACTGCTAAAGGGGTACCAACGTGACGACGAGGCGGTTTGACGCAAGCGCAGTACTTTATTGAAGCGATGAAGCGAGACACGACGTCGACGCGGGCGGACGCGTTCTCTTTCACTCTTAGCGCAAACTCATACGCGACGAACGCGACATAAAATTTGAAGTAGTACATGTAAAAAATTTGAGCCGCTCTTACATTTGTGAGTCTTGTACGGGACAAATGTCATGCCTCTTGTATGTCATACTCAACACTACCGCGGTCGCTTGCCGTGCGTCAAACAATATTGTGTTGTGGCATTATTTCAAGGTTTTAAACAATTTTCAGGCCGATTCTTGTGTTGAATACTTTGTGAATTGATAGTAATAAATTATTAAGCCATGTTGGACCCACAATTAGCTCAGATTGATACAGATTTGTTGATACAAACGATAAAAGAGCGCCCATGTTTGTACGCGCGAGACTCATCGAAGTATAGCGATGCGAATTACAAAAATATTATGTGGGAAAACGTTGCAAGTATTTTATTCTCTGATGTCTGGGAGAAATGTAACGACAATGAAAAAGCAGAAAAAGGTTAGTTATTGTTTGATTTTTTTATTAACATTTTGTTTTTGTTATGTGACAGTTGACTTGACAGATTGGTTTGTGTCAAACTTTTGTTTATTTTTATTCTTCTATATAGGTTATCATTAAAAAGTTTTTATTTTATTCCTATAAAAATAAAGAATAGTTTGTATTATTGTGCTTTTACTTGACTTTTGCTTAATTTTTAACTCAGCAATTAAATCGCGTATCAAAATATTCGAACGCCAACGCCATCTCTTGACTGGATTTGTAAAACAAAAGCATTAGACCACTGATATGATAAGAGTATTAGACGTTTATTGCAATAGACGTTTCTGTTTCCAAAGAACGTTTTTGCTAAAATTGTTTCATGTTTTATGTGGGATTTGTTTGTCAAGATTTGTTCCATGAAAAAAATAATTGAGAAATTATTTTTAACATTTCTTTATTATTATAAAATAATATTGTTATTATTGAAAATGTTTAATCTGTAAATTCAGTTACTTTAATAAACTCTAACCAGAATTCATGTACTACATAAATTGCTGACCTCGTATTTATACAGATGCATAGCATTCCATCTACTGAGCTAGCGGGGCGAGAAATTGCACAATTTGCACATAAATATTAGCATTCCATCATCATTTTATTTCATAGCAGACGCCTGGCGGTCTGTTGAATATTATATTGTATTCCGCAATCCTACAACACGTTGCTCTTGTGATTTTGTAAGGCGTTTTATAAGTATTAGGTATTTTTAGGCACCCAGTGTTTTTATTGCGTAAATGATTTTTTTTAGGTTTATATTAATTAAGTATTATTTATTTTATAAGCTACATGAGGTTAATAAAATAAAGGTAGCTACTTAATTGCTAACAAACTGTTATGTTTATCGGGAACGAAAATCAACTCTATGTCATTATCTTTGGTGAATATATTATTATTACAAAACAATTAACCAAACGCTATTACAATTGTATAATCACAAGAGTTTTTATACATCAATAATTTTTAATGCATGGTTGGCGCTTGGACTGGCTGCCGTGCAAAATGCTCAATTCCCGCACGGAACAACTCCTTGTGTGATATGCAAATTGTTGTTTTGGTACTGAGTGTTATTTGTATGTGAAATTCTATGTTTGTAAACTCTCTCACGAAACAGAAGAAAATCCCAGTGTCCAATGTTTTTTAAAACAGAAAATAAAAGAATAACTATCTTAATTTTTTACAGTGGAACTGGTACAAAGAAGATGGAGAAACCTTCGAGCATGCTTCCGCAGAGAGCTGACTCGTCAATCGGACCCGAAATGGGTATACGGAGTGTCATACAAGAGACGTAAATACATATACTACAACGACCTCCTCTTCCTTCGTTCAGAAGTTGATATCAGTGATGATGATACCTCACAAGACATCGACCTACCAGTCAAAACAGATGATGATAATACAAAAGTCAAAGTTGACACAAACATAGAAGAAATCCCCATAGCAGAAATTAGGCCCGTTCCAAAACCGAATAAAATCGAAAAAGTCGAAGCTTTAACACCAGAACCAATTGAAATTAGTACAAAACATGAACCTGATAGCACGAATTTTGCACTATCTCTAGTCCCTATGTTAGATATGTTACCAGTTTATAAAAGAATTGACGCTCAAATATCTATATTGTCGATTATAAAGAAGTTTCTTCAAAATGCTGATGACGATGATGATATGGATAAAGAGGTAGAAGTTAGGAAGGAAAAGAAGAAAAGTGATTATACAAGGAAACGTAAAGTTAATGAGACGAATGTTTGTGTTGAAATTAAAAGTGAAGCCGGGAGTGATGTCGAGGATGTTTCGAGTTTTCTTTAGTGCAGTTACGTCGTTAGTAAGAAATATTAAATTAACTAAAAATAGTGATGAATAAATGTACTTTCTTTCTTTCTTTTCTTTGTTTCCAATAAGCGGGTTACTCGCGTGAATATACTGAGAAAAGCTACTAGTTTCCAGCTACTAGATTATACCTCAGAGAGTAGAGTATGCTGCGCGACATCACCGTGACCGCGCACGCTGCTCATGAGGAAGAGCCTGTCTGTTCATGTCTGTGCACGTGAGTAACCCGCGATTTTTAGGTAATTTAGTATGTCTCACGATAGTTATTATAAAAACAAAGTAAGAAATACATTTTCTCTAGATTTTGTATTGTTTTATTTACACTCTGCCTAGTAAAGCCAGTTCGAACTTTTGATTTTAGATAAATACAAGATTTACTATGTTCATTTCTTATCGTAGAGCCTTTACAAACCTAGTTACTGTGTTTTTCTTAATAAATAGGTGTAGAAGACAGAGGATCAGCTTGCGAGCGATTTTGAGAAATAACATAAATACCACTGTTACTTCACTTTTTATTTACTTCCTTTATCCCGCTAGGGGCGCTGGTTGTACTCGACAACGTCACATTTGACGAACAACCTAACCAAATTGATGATAATTAATGTAACGAAACCATAGCGCGATCTATCTCGACATTAACACCATCTATCGAGCGACGCGACAACTTTGAATATTAATAATTATTTTATTATTAAATGTTGATCGCGCTATGATCCCGTTACCGCTCCGAACAATAGGTATGCCATCCTTTGTCGTTAAAGATATCTTCTTAAAGATGAAGAAATGGATATGCGTTATGTGGACTACATAATATATGTTTATTAATATAATACATTTCCTTTCAGTTCGTTTCATCTAAGCTATTTCATTTTATCCCATCACATTGAATTTTATGCCGTCGAATCTCATCCCAAATGTAGCTTATATGATATTCCAAACTATTATCTACTCTACATCAATGCCGTGTTTTTTTATGGTATAAGCAGGTAAACGAGCAGACGGATCACCTGAAGGTTAGCAATCGGCGTCGCCCATGGACACCTGGAACACCAGAGGCGTTACAAGTGCGTTAACGGCCTTTTGGGGATTAGGAGTTTGAGGATCGTTGGGGATTCAGGAATTGGGGAGATAGGGGAAGAGGAGGGTTTTTTTAAGGGGGGAAAATTGTCGAATAACTTAAATTAGGTTCGTTGGCAATGAAAAGATTAATTGACCCGCTCATTATGAGATGTTTATCAAAAATATTATGTTCAACTATAAACAGACTGAGCGAAATATCTAAAAAGAGATCTTCATTTTTGTGGCACTTATTTCTTCCAGATTTTTCTGTGTGACAGTTTTTTTTTTATAAGGGGGAAAATCATCGAATGACTGCTCCCGCCTGGGTGAGGCGGGATGGAGTGTCAGACTCTTACTGACTAAAAACCACCCCGTTCCTTCTCCTGCACGTCGAGCCGGAGCCCCGGTTACCCGTTAGGTTCTCCGCGACAAGGGGAGGGTAATTGGGTCTCCGGTAACCTCACTCACACGACGAAACACAACGCAAGCGTTGCTACACGTCGGTTTTCTGCTTGGCCGTGGTATCACTCCGGTCGAGCCGGCCCATTCGTGCCGAAGCATGGCTCTCCCACACTTTTCATTAAAACTGGATCAGTAGCAGGGCATGTGGCAGGGTAACAAACATACACGCATCTTCACATACTTTTCCTTTATATCATTCGTATCTAGGATAGTAGGAAGGTAACACAGTCTATCTACTATTACATCTTGCAAATTAATTACACCAATAAATTCACGCACATTTATACCTCTAAGCATTACTTACACTATTTTTAAAGTTGACAAGTTTAATGGCCATCCGAGGTAGCCGTACAAGGTAGCCGTTTCGGATTTATGACCCAATTCATTTACTAGACTATTGTACTTTGTACATTTTTAACTTACACATTTTCAGTTTTATGAATGCAGAGATTTGCTAAAGTAATCTTTATTTATAATGACATAAGGTGTATACAACCACGGCCGGTGAAAATATACTGTTGAGTTATGTGCTTCCTCCACGATAGAGTTTTTGTCATTACCACCACGCTTGGCTAACATCTTGAAATTTAAAATGTTTAGGTTGCATCTGAGAGCTCTGCTGCCCAGTATCTTAAGTCTAGTGGGACTTATTTATCTCAAGTAGACCAAGAAGGAAGTTTTCAACATTAATTAGGTTACCGGAGGCCTAATTACCTCCAATTTTTGGTTGGGTTATTGTTATTGTGAAAAAAGAAAAATAAATCGAAAACCAAACAAAGTTCGCAGTGTCCACTAATTTGCGGGTTTGCGGACGGTGAACAAGTGTAGTTCGCCGCCCGACCAGAACCAGACCCGTGCGTACGGCGCCTCGCATTTCGCGCGCGCCTCAAAGAGCCATCAGATCACCACAGATAGGCTCCTCAGGAGGGCTGATGCGCGATATGGAGCCGTGGAAGGCCTAAAGGGTTGTCGGGGCTCCGGTTTGAAGAGCAAAAGTAGGAATGAAGAGTGGTTTTTAGTCAATACGAGTCTGACACTCCCTCTCGCATAATCCAAGGCGATGGAATTCATTGGTTGGTGTTCCCCTAAAAAAGAAAAAAATGGTCCACTAGTTTCCTGTAAAAACAAGAAGTATGACGTCACATTTCATTTCTTTCAAAAACTTTAACTGCTACACGAGTGCTGGTTAGTTTCCTCAGCTAAAGTTTACTGTGAGATGACACATGGTGTTTCAAGTCGTGTTACAAATGGAACCAATCCATCATCTCTTATACTTCGTGTTTAGAACTTCATACTATGACTCGTAAAAGGACATTTATTTTCTGTGGATAAACACACGTATTAGAATTGTTTATTACTGAAATTCGCAGTGTAAAAAGCACAATATTGTTATTAACATAAACAAACCGCTGTTGGCCAATGGACTACGTCTAAGTCTGATTTTTGTCTCTGAAATGTGTAGGTACAATATTCGAATATGACACCAGAGCATTGTTAAACAGATTTTTTTTAAAAGAGTAACTAATGGAGTCTTGCTCGTCCTTCTCCACTCGATTATACATTTTGGAACGAGCGCCTAGCTTCACTGATGGACAGACTGACAGACTATTATTTATTTTGTATTTGTTGACGTTTCAATAATACCAAATTATGGTTTAATTGAAATAAATGCTATTGAGTTTTGAGTTTGAGTTTGACGCCGACTGCATGCGCATTGTTACCGCTGATGACCAGGGATCAACAGTGCGTGAGCAGTTTGCGCTGATGGCCAAGATGTAATAACTTCTAGGTATATATAGGTTTTTGAATGACGCGTAACTATCAGCGCGCACGGTTCCTAGAAGTAGAAGTTCATATTTCTTGGCTGTCGGCGCTGTGTGCGGACAGCGCGACACTAAAACCAGCCTATATGAACTTGATTGTCAGATATGCGAGCTACACGCCATTCATGTCGCGGAGAACCTAACGGGTAACCGGGGCTCCGGCTCAACGTGCAGGAGAAGGAACGGGGTGGTTTTTAGTCAGTAAGAGTCTGACACTCCCTCCCGCCTCACCCAGACGGAAGCAGCCATTCGATGATTTCCTCCCCTTAAAAAAACACGTTATTCAAAAACGCTTCCTAGAAATTCATATTCATATCATGCCAGATGCTAAGAGTAGGGTTGGTGAAAAATCGTATTCTATTTTGTCGTCACCATACAGCTGTATAATATCTGAACAAATTCTAATACACGGTGACCATAACTTATAAAACATTCCGGGGGACATCCAAAATGTGGAACATCAGTCAACATCAAAAAAATAAAGTTATATAAATGGTGTTTAGACTGCGGCGTCGTTTTTATTCCTCTGCGGTATTCTGGCATGGATGACAGCTTTTTTATTTGTTTAGGAACCACAGAACATCCTTACTAATATTATAAATCGGAAAGTGAGTTTGTTTGTTTGTTCCGATTTCACGCCGTAACTACTAAACCGATTGCTTTGATTTTTTGCAGACGTATAGAAGTCCGGATTAAATAATATGGTAGTTTTTATCCCGGAAAAATTTGATATTCCCGAAGGAAAACAAAAGTATTGGTATAGATGGCGCTGTGTGTATTGGTATATGTCACATAGGCTACTTTTTATCCTTTTGTGACGCGAGCGAAGCCGCGGGTAAAAGCTAGTACCCTATAAATAAGGTTTACATGTTCTGTTTTAGAAACTAACTAAATTTGATTGTTTTAAAACAAAAATAACATAACATCATGCCTTTTAGTCCCAAAGGGGTAGGCAGGTGCACATTACGCCACTTAATGCCACTATACAATGTAGCACCCACTTTTCACTATTTATGTTATAAGTCCCATGTATAGGCCCAGGCCTATTGCCATGCACTGGGCACAATTCCAGATTCCGTGCTACTACTGAGAATTTATTTGGGTTTGAAGTCTTCGTTGCAACATTTGTCGATTTTCTTGTGAGGTAAATAATATAAAAAAAAAATACATTTTATTTGAAAGGAAACGGATTGTTGCAAGACTTTTTGGATCACATCACATCAATTGGTGGCCAGTGCTGACCAAAGGCCTCTTCTCCCACAAAGGTTTGGGCATTAATAACTACGCTTACTCAATGCAAGTTAGTGATTTCAAACTTATAATTAAAAATTATAAGCCTAGGTTTCCTCACGATGTTTTTCCTTCACCGTCTATCAGTGGTGTCTAGATAATCTTAGAAAGAACATATAACTCGAAAAAAGTCACATTAGTACTTGCCATTAGTAGGTTTCGAACCCGCATCCAGTGAGGTACATATCACACAGGTCGCGGAGAACCTAACGGGTAACCGGGGCTCCGACTCGACGTGCAGGAGAAGGAACGGGGTGGTTTTTAGTCAGTAAGAGTCTGACACTCCCTCCCGCCTCACCCAGGCGGGAGCAGTCATTCGATGATTTTCCCCCCTTAAAAAAAAAAGTACATATCACACAAAATTAATTTCTTTCCCAAGTATTAGATAACTGGCTATCCTAAATCCTTAACTCCATTTCAAAAAAATATTAACGCTATATTACCAAACGGTGCACAGTCAAGTGATACACCGGAAATGCGTGTTTAAATCATGGCTGCCACCGGAAGCGGAAGTGGTTCGCTAATAAATATGGCGCTCGTTCGGCCGCGAATTCCTCCGTAAATATTACTTGGTTATCTCTGGGAAGTGG